GGATATTACTGACCAATCTTTCTTTCGTTGTGATGAATGTCAAGATATTGAAAACCGAAAGCCGTACAACCTTATGCTCATGGCTCCATTCCGTGGTTGGGACCACCACCCTGGTTCACCTTCCATCAGTACTGATCCAGTAGGATGGTCAAAAACCCCACAACAACACCAGGGATAGAGCCAAGTTCTCAAGGTTATGGTCACAGTGCACCACCAAGGAGATGAAACCTAGGAGACGGAGACTAGACAAAGATTTGAACACCGCTACCCCCTTGCCTTTACCCACCAGGTCATGCTCTTGCCTTCCGCCACCAGGTCATTCTCCTGCAAGCGCGGACAATCTCCCCGGTTCCTCACTCTCCTCATTCAGGTCCCATAACCTTCTGGCGATCATTAGGTATCGTGATAGTTTGCGTTCACAGACAGAAGCTACGCTCAGTACGCTGCCTTCCAGAATATTCTTGCGGTATGCCCTCCAGCACCGCTATGGTAACCAGGCCCCAAGACATGGGATTCCTGTGATATGCCCTCTGGTACCGCTTCGGGAGTGCTGGGACTCGGACATGAGGACCATCCTGCTATGCGGGTGCACGTCACAAAAAGTCGGGACAACACTGTTGGAACTTGGACCCTGATTGCAAGAACCTATTATCCTCTTATTTTGGAACGATAAGGGTACCCGTAAACTCCACCTTGGGACCAAATCTGTTTGCCAGGACCTCTCACTCCTTGCACAGGAATCTGGCCTTCTGGCCTGTCAAGGTCCTTTTCACTCAGGAGTCTGGAGTCTTCCCTGCGATATCCCTCTGGCCCAATCTGCATCAATTTGAAAAGCCGATCCAGTAGTATCTATCCTTTACAAGTAGCATGGTTGTGCCTGATCTCTTTCAGTGAGGAATTGCGTCTGTATTTGCAGCTCCTCCTCTGACTCGATTAACTTTTCCGTACCTCTACGAAGTAAACCAATATGTGGTTCTGCACGTTCCACCACGTCCCCATTCATTTCCAAAACTAACCTCTCATCCGATGATAATCTCTGGCCTCCTCCCTCCACGCTGCGACTATGTACATTGTCCTTGCTGGGCAAGGTCTTGTATGCACCTGCTTTTCCAGAAATTCTCTTAGTATTCATTTCAGAAAGGTTAGTGTCAAAGACTGTTAGTGCATTCGGCAGGCAGGGCGATGAATGAGTCAGTGGAAAAGGGTTCATCCGTTTGCGGCGAGCAAAGTACAATGTCACTGCGAAAAAAGAATATTCCCCACAGCAAAAAATGTAACACAAGACCAAATAGCAGTGTGAGAAAATGCGAGCCCCAAACGAATCGATGACAGAACCAGCTGGAAATTTCCCCACTCTAGAGCTCCTCCGGCTTGGCCTGGTTGCAGCTGCAGGCTATTCGACTAGTAAAAATACGCAGTATGCAGTGGCGATGTTTATACGTCGCCCTTCCAGGCAACGTCTGGCTCGACGCACACAGCAGTACATAGAGGCAAGCCCCATAGATCGAGCTCTTTGTCGTTTGTTCTTCATGGGAAAAAGAGAGACGACTCAGCATTGTTTATTGGACTGCGCCAAGGCTCTGCAGGTCTGGCAGGAGATGGACCTCCTTTGGCAACGAATTGGCATCAAACCCCTCTTCCGGTCAACCCCATTACTTGGCTAATGGGTACGCAGACACTAACCACTTGGATGAAATTGGAGCAGCGCAGCTATCAGAAATTATACCAATATGGGCTGTGGGTAATTTGGCAAAACAGGTGCCAAACCACGAGAGACAACACTCCAATGCAGCTATGCGAGGTCAACAAAGAGCTTAAAGGTTTACTAAAGACAGATATGGCAGCGAAATGGAAACGAACACATATTCCGGATGCGGCAGTCCCTGGAGACAGCCCGACAAGCAAAAGACGCCTTCACACAGAATGTTCTCAGCCATTGGCAAGCTGGCAATGCGAGACAGGATTTCACTCAAATGGACATGGTGGGCGCAAGAAGACTCGGTCTAAGGGGGGAAGCTGGTTCCGACCTTATGCCTAGGGTTTAGGGTTTAGCAAGTAGGCCCCTCTGA